CTCTATTTGCACTTGGAATGATTTGAAGGGTCATATTTGTTTATGATGTTTGAGGACAGATAATCTGCACGAGGCCAATAGCCTATGTCACTGTATTTCTCTTGCGGTGGCATATTGTGTGCCTAATAATTCACATGGCAAAAACTCCAAGTTGTTTAGAATATCATGTAAAATTTTCAAGAGCTCTGCATTCTTAGAGATGTTACTTATATCTTGTAGCTAAAAAGTGGAACTTCTTACATGGGACATGTAGAATAGTTTGTCAACCGGGTAAATCTTGAGCTCAGCTGAGTTCATCTGTATTTGCACGTTCGTTTACTCTTTGACTGAAAATAATGTCAATATGCAAAACCAATCTCAGTTTTCTGTTAGCTTTTGCTCCATACAGTCTTTGAACAATGGTTATGTGACCAATGGTTAGTAACATTCTTTTCTAGCTCCTTCTCTCTGGCTGTTTATTTTATTTTATTTTATTTTTTAATTCAACCTTACATGGCTTGGTCAGCTGGTAGAGTGGCCATCCATTTACGAGATGTTACCAAATCCCGATTTCAACTGGAAAAAGAAACTTTAGACTCAAGTATGGAGAAAGCATTATGAGGATGACAAAACTTCAGTTGAACTGGACTCATATGACACTAATGGATGCATCACAATTTTTTGAGAGGGCATCGAGGTGCTCCTTTTGTTTTTGTTTTTTGTTTTTTTTTGTTTTTGTTTTTGTTTTAACTCAAATGATTGAAAATTCATTCCACAAAACCACCACAAAGTACAAATACATCACCACTAAGAGTGGGAACCAAGCAAAACAACCGGGATTTATGAACTGCACCCAGCAAAAATAACAACTTACTAAAGGACAATACCCTGTAGCTGAAGAAACCCACTAAAAATTCCTCCAGAACTTCAAGAAATATAGAGCAGAAACCGCCATCTTCAACCTTCCAAGAAAAGCAAAGCACCTGAGCAAAACGCACAATCAAATTAACTGAATGATTTCCACTGGAAGCCCACCAGGGTCCCTATATATCAACAGTTAAACAAATAACCAAGCAAAAGGACAGCCAACAGAAAACACTCCTCAGCCCCAGTACACTCAAAAAACCTGAAATCAACTATCTCTACAAACTTCTGAAAATTCCTTCCACTCTAAAACAACCAAATCCACTGTATCTTTTTCAGAGTGCTCCTTTTGTTAGAAACTAGTAAAGTGACATACTACTTTATTAAAATAAATAATACATATATTTTAAATTATATTATTTTATTATTGTCCCCCTGGTATGATTGAAAACAGAAGAATACAAGATACAAGAAATATGCATGATCTTATTTTCACAAAAGGGATAAACATATGACATGTGATAAGTACTTATAGCAAAATTTCATAATTGAAAGGTAAAAAATATCGTAGTCAATGTCCGTTCTTAAAAATTTTATATAAGCTATGGGTGATTTT